GGAATGTCCTGTATTCCTATTATCTTTCTAAATGTATCCACTATGGATATAAACATATACTTAAGTCCTAATTTATCTGGAACTTCCAACGTACTCGTTTCCAGGCATGCAGAGACAAAACCAGCAAACAAGTGGATAACTAGCAAAAGGATTATATAACATTTGTTATCTACATGACCATGCTGGATGGTGGGTTTTAAGAGTGAGCATGTGGGGGTGAAGTGGAACGATGTTTGTAACAGACAGCATTACAAATATATTGGTCTTTTTTTCCCCTAAACAGTGGGCGATACCAAACTAACCAAAACTACTATAACTTCTGTCCCTTTATTTTAGTGGTATTTTATAATATTATTTCCACTTATAAGTTCTGCACAGTATGGGCTGACATATATAACCTATTTTCTCTCTCATTTGAAATAGTTCATGAACAGAGTAACAAGCTTTTGTCCCAGTGCCATTGAAACTCTAAGGTTATAAGGAATTATATAAGGGGAAATAATTTCCAATTCAACTAGATTTTATTCTGAAAGATCATACTAACATTTGCTGTAAATGAAATCAAAGACTGGCTGCAAAAATCTTGAGTAACTAGATGCCAAGAAGAAAGTGTGATTCACTCTTTCTTGTTTTTTATTTTTCCTTTCAAGACTCTCATTTTCCTCTGCTTCACAGATGGTTTTTTAATGGTACCCATTTTTAGCTTCTTGTTTTTCATTTGCCTTTGCTTTCCGTCAGCTCTGCAAAATCAAATCACAAATACATTGTCAGAGTATAGTAAATTGTACAGTAGGGTAAATGCACACAGAAACACAATTAACTGAAGCTACCATTCAAAAGTGTGGTCACAAAAAAGCTAAATGAAAAAGAAAAACAAAAAAGATTAAGTGCATGCGATATTTAAATTAGCTTCGTAATTCATAAGTTAATCTACTTTTACTCCATTAGTGACATTTACCATATTTTGCATGCAGCTTGCCCCAGAGTACAATATGCAGCTTTAACAGAGGCTCTATTAGAAGGACTGCATTTTAGTGGTAGGCAGGGGAAAATTCTTCAAGTAGCAGAAACACATTTGATGGAACTTTGGTCATTGCTTGATTAGAAAAAGACTGAGTAAGAGAAGACAGGAAGCAAATATTGCTGCTAAATAGCACTAACAGAGCTAACTGTTAGATCCGAGTGCTTCAAAGATCACAAAAAATCCTAATATAGAGTTGACTAACAGGAAGAAAGATCATACTGAGCTGTATATATTGAAACACACATCCATTTGTCTATATAAGCAAGCCTGCTCTAAATGAAAAAGTTCTGCACTTCTTAATATCCAGGTTGAGTTAGCTAAGAAGCATGCCCCAGAAGAAGGAGATAACAGATCCTAGTTGTAGTCACTTATCTCACAGTGGTGTTGGAAATGACCTTGACGAGACATTTTTTGCAATTAGTAGGCCTATCAGATACAGAGACATAACTGTACACGTTGCTCCAGAAATTGAGAAAACTTATCTCAGTGGAGATGATTAAACATGGCTAGCAAAGCCTAAGAGTTTGCAATTTAACTCTGGAACTAGACAATTTTCGGACAAAGCTGGATATAGTCAAAGTTGGTTTTTTTTTAAATGGTATTTGATACCATTCGGACATGGCTAAGAAGTCTACCAAAGGTCTCTGCCCAAATCAAGAATGCCTTATTTACTGACCTCTCCAAATACCACATAGGAAGTACTATCTAGCTTGGCTAAAATATCAAACAAAGTGACCTCTCTTCTGCACTACTTCTAAAGGAATTCTTAAGGCCTCAGCAGAAGGAATAGAAGAATTACTCTTACTCAGAAAAGAAGAAATATCAAGTGAAACCTGAGGGTGAACATACTATTTCCTATTACTGTCACCTCTTTACTCAATGCCTCCTGTAGTACTTGCAGAAAATAAATATACAAGCAGCTGTAATGGCCTTGCAGGCTCCACAACAGAAGAGGACATACTCCTGCCTAGATGGAAATGGAGGAGTAAAATGAGCCAATAGAAGCCAATATGGCCAAGATTGTATTCCACCTGTGTATGGTATCTGTGGTCAAGGAAGAGGACTCCATGATGTCGAAGGGCTTTTTTTTAAATGATACTCTTCTCAAAATCACCTTCATAGATTGTTTCAGGGGATAAAAGAAACAATTCTGAGGACGGGTGTTGTTGCTATATTCTTAAAAGAGGCTTCCCCTTTCTTTTCAAGGGGATGCTGTTGTCTCTGGAGTAGAAGGGAAGTGAAAAAAATCCTGAAACAGGCTGAGATAGAGATGAGAGTAAAAGATGTTTCCACCATAAGCTGAAGAAGCAGCAACTGACCCAAAGTGCAGGGGAAGAAAGAGTCTAAGCCACAGATCACACTTGTTTCAATGAGGGTTAGGTCTCAAAGAAGTTAAGGAAATCCCAAACCAGGTCATAACCTCAGAGCACTGGCTAAGTAATTTTAGAAACAGCAGGAACTGCTTTTCAGAGAGCTTCAGGTGAGATGTGTAACAGAAATTTTTTTAAATAAGCATCTCTGACCTTTTTATTGTATTTTGAGAAAAAGGTCTACATAGAAAGCATTTTTCAGGACTACGTTCCTCTTCGGGGCAAAAAAGAACTTGATATACTTAGTGTTTAAGGCAAGGGTTGGCAACCTTTTGCCAGCATGGGCCACCCATTGCTACCCAGCCCCCCCAGTATGGGTCACAAGTCTCCATTCTTCCAGAACAGCCAGTTGCCTGCACTTACCCTTGTTGCTAATCCCCATCCCCTCTGCAGCAAGGGTAAGTACAGATGCAGCAAGGCAGCAATTTGAGTTTACTCCATAACTGTACCCATACATTTATTAAATACCATATTTACTCAAATATGAGGTGTTTTCCTCCAATCTGCAAAGGGAGAAAAAACCTGTCTTATATTTGCATATGAAGAAGCAGCAGCAAGAGGCTTGCTGTGGTTCCAACTCTTGCCCTAAGCCCAGGCTAGGGCCAAAGTCAGACCCACAACCTTCTGCTCCCACCCCTTCCACTTCCTCTTTGCAGCTTCTACCTGCACCCTGTCCACCCCTTCCTTCCCCCTTAGTGTCAGGTGCAGCCTGGCTCCAGCTTGGGCTGGGGTTTCACCCAAGCATGGAGCACATGGAAATTCCTTCTCCTGCCTGTAAATCAGCAGTGCCAACACCTGCAGCACCACCTGCCTGGCCAATCAGCAGTGCCAACACCACTATATGGCCAAGAACAGGCTGAGCTTCCACACGCTGTACTCCAAGGACAAGATGGAACAGCCTGGGCAGTCTGACATTAAGGGCAGGGAAGAAAGAGGCAGAGACCAGAGAGCTGGGCGCTGTGGGGGGAAGGAGCAGAGACTTGACGCGAGTTTGCAGGGGATGAAGAAGCAGAAATTAGGGACAGAGGACTGAGAGAGCTGGGGGTGTAGGTGGCAGGAGGGCAAGAGGGCCACTGACCCCCCACAGCCACTGCTTTCCCCGCTGTAGCAATAGAGGGAATTGAAGACAATCCTCCACAATACTTAAGATTCTAGACCTGGAAAAATTATAACAAACGTGTTTCATACATAAATCTAAATATTGGGGGGTCATCTTATATTCACGTACAAATGGTAGCAATCATTTCCCATATTTGAGAGAAGCATTCCAAATAAATATTCCTGCACCATCACACTTACTGGTAAGCTCTTCTAGTCATAGAAAAATGAGGGCAGGTGCTGCGTTTGTGATCCGCTCCGCCACAAATAAAGCATCCAACCTGCACACTCTCACAAACATGGTCCTGAAGAGCACAGTGATTGCATGTGTTACAGTGAACCCAGGCTGCAATATGATAAAGAAAGAAAGAGGAGGCTACATTTCATTTTTCAGTTTGAGGTCTTTGGGTTATTTTACTGCTGTCGCAACATTTTCCCCCCATCATCAAAAAGCTTCATTAGTTAGCTTTCCTTTTAATAAATATAGTAAATAGATACACTCTTCAGATATAATACAATCATGTGCCACAAAATCATTAAAAGGATGACAGTTTTAAAATCACAAAAATATGGTACAGTTTTTAAAACAATCTGGTGTTACTGAAAAGCAGCAAAGGCAGCTACAGCCTTACATTAATAAGTATGGTTATTCTCAACTATTTAAACAGCTCCAAGCAAGGACACTTGCCTTCAAGAAACAGAGTTTACCTGACTGCTCCCACAAAAGTATTTTAGGAGCCATTGATATGTTTACAGAATGCAGCTGAAAAATCAATATGAAAGAATATATAAAAAAAATTTTAAATCAGGATGAAAGCAGATATTGAATTAAATGAAGATCTGCCATAGTGAATAAGAAAAATGTAGTGTACCCTGATTTGACAAGACACCACATTTTCACATAGTGGAATCAAGTAGACTATTGGGGGGTTTGAATGGAAGTTAAACATTTCTTTTTTTTCTTCACAGTCAATCATTATGGCTTGAAGTTAAACATCATTTCCAATTTTTGCCTTGATTTCTTTGGACTGTAACTTACATAGTAAGAAACACTAATTAGAAAAAATATTTATGTACTCACAAGGCTTTACACACTTTTGGCAAAGAACACAATGTCTCCATTGCCTACCATCCTAAAAATAAAATCATAAGAAGTGTATTAATTTTAAACAGGCTCTTTTAAAGTAGTACTAATTAATTCTTTTATTGTATTTGCTGTACTTTTTAAAATTATATTATGCCCCAATGAAATGCTTACATTTTCAGCTATTACATATTCATGCTCCCTATATATTCATAGATGGCTTGCGTGTTGGGGGGAAGATCAGAGAGTTCTCCTACAAACACTGAGCTCTAGCACCCCAGGCAACAGTTAGCATAACTGATGCCCCTTGAAGTACTGCACCTTCCTAATCACAGGAGAAATAGCATGTGGCATCAGGCTCTTGAAGAATGGTGTCTGGAGGGTACAAGGACAGGCACAAACTTTTGGTGTCCTCATTCCAACCCAAAGCAATTAGGAAAGAGAAAATAAATCCCACCACACCCAATCCGCAGCCCACAGAAATCAAGACAATACCCATACTGAGCTGCCCATGGCTCCCTACCAAAGATATACTAACAGTATTAACATCAAAAGAGGTTTATATCCAAGTAAAACCACAAAATATCTCACTAAAATTCCTGTCCAAAGAGAGGAAAATCACTTACTTTTGATGTACATGAATTGCACATTTCACAGTGCTGGTTTTCTGAACTCACATATCGTTGACAAAGAGAACAAAACCTGAAAAATATTACAAAGTATTGACCTACTGCTTGCTGAAAAAGCCTTATGAAACATAGCAATAAAGTTGAAGTGCTGCTGTAGCCATGATGGTCTAGGTCAGGGGCAGGCAATTATTTCAGCTGAAGGGCCACTTAATGAGTTTTGGTGAGCTGTCAAGGGCTACAAGGGTAGTCCCACCCCTTGACGGGTGCTCTGCCCCATGACCGCCATCTTGGGGTCAGAAGTCCCACCCCTAACCCCCGACCTTTGCCACCTGAAGTCCCACCCTTTGCCCCACAGAAATACTCATTTTGGGAGGGAGGCTTGCCATCTTGGAACCAGGGGGGGAAAAAAAAAAAAAAAAAAAAAAAAAAATCAAATCACACACTAAGAGTCAAATACCTACTATAACATAGGTTAATTTTATTACAAAAATATTTTTGTCATAATGATTTATGTTTGCATTATGTATATAGAAATGACTGCATAATAACTCAAAAATAAAATCTTCCTCTTGTATATTGTGGGGGGGGAAATGAGGTGTGAGTGGGGGCGTGTGCATGGTGGGATGTGAGGCACCACGTGCGTAGGTGTATAGGAGGTACGTGTATATATGGTGAGGTGTGGGGAGTGTATGTATATGTGGGGAGGTTGTGGGGGTGGGGTGTGAGGGAGGGTGGAGGGGTGTGGGGATCCCTCCCCGCCATGAGGCACAGCCCCTGCTGGAGGCAGCAGCTGCAGGTGGGGGAGCTTGAGGCGCTCGTGCCTGCTGCAGGCACGGCAGGCGGGGGCATGCGTCTCCAGCCAGTGTCGTACATGGGAGGCAACAAGAGGCAGCCTAGCTGGCCTGCTTCTATTGAGTGGGGCTCCCCACGATACATGTGCAGTTCCCGCACTCACGAAGCGCCAAGGGAAGCCACACGCAATGGAGCCGGATGCCTTTGCCGCTCCCTGCAGTGCAGATCCCGGGACTCTGCTGGAAGTGGAAAGGAGACCTGGCCCCTGCTTCCTGGTGTAGTCCTGTGACCTGCGCAGCAGGCAGCGGTGAAAGGTGCTGCCTCCGTTGCACAGGACTTCCCCAGTGACGTGCACGTGTGGGAGCTGCACGTGCACAGCAGGGAGCCCCAATGCAATAGAGCTGGGCTGGCTGGGCTGCACTCCGCCAGTGGCAATGCCTGAACCACACACGAGGACCCCAAGCACCCCTGCCTGCTACTACTGTCAGCGGGGGCTTTATTCTATTGGGGGGTGGGGAGGGCAGGGGGTGGAGGGTCCTTCTTCAGGTGACCTGAGGAAATTTTTAGTTGGTCCAATAAAAGAAAAATCACTAAAATCCTTGCCTGCCTTATAAATGAACAAATTTAACAAGCAATGCATAGAAGAGTAGCAAATTTATTTGGTATCTCACATTTCACTATCAAGCTCTCTGACTAGATGTGATCTCTTACTAGACCAACTGAGTAGTTGGAAAAAAGTTCTCAGCAAGCTTTTGGTCTTTAGGCATAGGGAGTCTCTGCCATTCTGAAACTCTGAGGAATGAAAGAAGCTAAAAGTGCGGCAGGATGTCAGTGAGAATATAATTGTAAATAAATAGAAATTATATTCTCACTGACATCCTGCCACACTTTTTAGTTTCTCTCATTCTTTGAGAGTCTCAAAACAGCAGAGACTCCCTATACCTGAAGAAGAATGATTGTGCCGAAAAGCTTACTAAGAACATTTTTCCAATTACTCAATTGGTGTAATAAAAGATATCACAGCTGCTCAAAGAACTTTGCCTGCCTATGTCCTTAGACCAACACAGCTACAACCAAAAACCCAGAACTATTAAGCTCTAGAATAATCCCTTAACTCCAGTTCCACAAAGCACATAGGCACCGAAAGAGCAAATCAGGTAGAATATAGGTACTCAAATACAAGTGAATAAACCACAAAACCCCGCATAACCACTTATAGACCTGAAAGTCTATAGGCACTGAAGTTTTTGCCAGAAGAGTTACCTTCGTACCTAAGATTCCACAAATATGCAAATCTAGGAACAACAGCACCAGCTAGGTACGTCTATTTTAGGTCTACAGTCACTTGGGAATCACAATGATGTTCCCACACTTAAGTCAGTCCCCTTATGGGGAGGTCAGGGAGCTGATCCTGTAGGTGTGGGGAAATACCTGAACATGAAAACCACACTAACTATATTGATGTCTGCTCAAAACATAGCAACAATGGCCACATTTGTTCTAAAACACAAGGAGTGGAGGTGATCATTGTGCCCACATTTATATAATAAAGTGGTTAGGGCAGTGATCCAGGAAGTGGGAGATCTGCACTGTAGGGCCTCCACTGCCTGAGGTGGTTCAGATCCAAATCTCCTGCTTCCCTCTCGAATACTATCCACTGTGGATCCAATCCCAAGGTGCCTACCATTGTATGGGGAACTCACGGGTTAAAATAAGATTGTTAATTCTATTTGAGGAACCTGATGCCTAAAGGTGCCACTGTGAACCTCCAGATCTACGTCTCTGTATGGTTTTTAAAAGAGAGTGTGAGTGTTTTAAGAGCTCTTACCTGTACCCCTCCTCTATAGGAAGTACTATCATACTTGGAGACAGATTGGTGAAAATACGAACAGGAGACTGTTTACGGCCTGTCTTTCCATGTTTATAAAGCATATGATTATCATAATCTACCTAGAAAATGAAGGCAGAAAGAACAAATTCAAGAATATCTTTAAAGGGTGCCTATACATGAGCAGTGAGGCTGCTCCCATACGCTGTAATGACAGCACATTGGAGCAGGCTCAATTAATTAAGTAACTACCATGCTCCAGCAGACTCCAGCATCTCGTGCATCAGCATCCCCACGCTGAAAGAGGCAGCATGGGTGCTTTAGCTAAAGCCTGTCAAAAGAGCTTTAGTTAAAGCAACCCTGCCACCATTTTTCAGTGTGGGGACACTGATACATGAGACGCTCTGGGTACTTTAATTAGAGCGCTCCGACCCACCACCACCTCCCAGAGCATATGTAAAAACGCCCAAAGTGCCTAACAAGCACAGGATTGAAGAAGTGCTGACAAAGACATTTAGCCTACTTTTCTTTCTATATACTCCAAAATATTTATGTTAAAACTCCATTCTTTAGGGAAACTACAAAGCCCAGATTAAACTGAACATTCTGGACCAGGCATTTGGTCGTCCATATTTTTAATTAATATGGATTATATTTTCACAGTGCTGTGGAGTACAGACTCTTGACACTTTGCACTTTACCTTTATTTCTCAATTTCCCCTTCTTTGCTCTGTGCAACAGGGAACCCCGACCCCTGTTACCAGGAGCGCTTGAGTAAGTAAATGACCAGGGCTCAGGCATCTAATGAGGTAATTAACTACACCTAGCCCTGGGGAAAGAGGGGCAAAAAGAGCTAATCAGGTGGCCGTAAGGGGGTTGAGGCTGAGGAATATAAGTCCTATTCCTGAACTGGAAAGGGTGGTCTGGGCCCAGAAAGGAGCTCCTGTGTAAGGCTGCAAGAGCAGGTGGGCTGGCAGGCACCTGAGCAGTCACAGAGAGCTGTTATGTTTGCTCGGCCTGGATACTGGCTTACTGTTCCTTCCTTAGGACTCCCAGAATGTCAGAGGCAATATAAAAAAAAAAAAAAAAAAAGTAATTGTGGATCACATTTTAGAAAGATCAGCTGAAAAATAATTCTTTTCATCTTTAGAGCGTGTTGCATTCTCCAAACAACCATATGAAAGCTTGCACAGAAGGAAATATTACACCCATGTTACTAGAAAACTCGCTTAACTAAAGAGAAGAGTTCTACCTTCACATATGTTTATGTACGAGTACCATGACATGTTCAAATAAGATAATAAGTACATTGCTATAAGAACATAATTCAGTAATGCGATATTTCACTGTGATGGCTGAATGATTTTAGGCAATGGGCTAAAAAAAATACATGTGTAATTTAACAAATTTTATATATTACGATTGCTTCACAAAAAAATAAATGTTAATATACTTCTAATAGACAAGACTGATCTCATAGGAATAAGTCCCTAGATATATTTATTCAGAAAAAAACATGTACAACACACGATTTCAAAAATAATGTATACCCATTATTTAAGCTGACATCACTTCATTGCTTTATCCCTGGCACCTCACTTTGGAAATTTTCTTTTTGAAAATGCTTATTCTGTTATACATAACTTTCATTTCTAGCCCTGATTGCTTCTGATACAACTGACCTTGAGCTTGTCAAGAGACTAGGATTGAGTCTTTCAAAATTTTACAAGTCTGATGGGTAAGAGAAATTTAACGTTTGAGGAAAAGGAAATGGCTGACTGGTGTCCACAAGCTCAAATTTATATTAAAAAAGTGCTTGGCGTGAGACAGATTAGTAGAAAGAGAAGGTGAGAAAGGTCGTTGATATCATACTACTTCACATTTTATGAAAAATATAACCAGTATAAATACATTATAAGATGCATCAGATTCAGAGTTAATGACAAACATTTGCTGCCCACCAACACACTATACTGACCATCAGTAGTCCTCTGCACACAAGTCTGGTCATCTGAAATACACACACTTCCTAGAATATACCCTCCGAATTGCTGTTTCTTTGCTATACAAGATATTAAAGAGCATTTATAAGATTTGGCCATACCTGGTAGTCCATCATAGTGAAGCTTGGAAAAAATTCAAGAATGCGTGACTCAAAGAAGTATGGAAATATCCAAAATATAGGCATCTCCTTGCTGCTGTGAGCTAATAACAAAGACAGATTCAGATGTAATTTTTTACTTTTTAAAATCAAGAAAAGCAGAATGCACATGAGCGTTTAATAATATTTGTGCATTGAGAGCAGTTGCCATGCATGCGACAATTGCTTACAGCCACAGAAATTAGAACTAATTCCATTAAGAAAGCAGGATGCTGGTCAGCCCAATATGCTTATATTTAGCCATTATCAGTAAATTTCACTGGATATGTATTGTCTACCTAGACGATCATTACAGATTAATAAAAAGTACCTTGGTTTATATATCTTATACACTATAAAAATACAGAATTAAGAAAAAAGTAATTTGCATCAATCTCAATAGTCTCTTAATTTTTAAGAATAAGTATTTGAATTATTACTTAAAATGTAATTATAATTTGGCTTCATCCACTTGCATTGTAGCTTTAGAAACCAGAAGAACACCCATCTCACCAGTAGGAAGTACACACAACATGAATAAGCATAGATCAAGTTACCATCTCCCATCATCTTACTCATTTCTAATGCATACCTTCCTCTTGTGCCTCTCTCCACATTGCAATCAGCTTCTTAAAGCTAAAAGCCAGGGCTTCCACCAAACCTCCAAAAGGAGGATCAGTCACCATTATGACTCCTTCACCTTTTTCTTCATGCAAGAATTTTCTACATACTTCTTGTGCAACCTAAAAGACATAAAGGTTAGTGTCCAGAAAACAGGCACAATTTTTTTTTTAACCAATGATTCTCAATGAGGGTGCTGCAAGATTCTTAAGGGTGCTACAGGTGCTAGATGAGCAGACAACTAAAAGTGATTCATCAGATAAATTCAGGTATTTCAAATAGAAATCTAGTGTCAAAAATATTTTGACCTGTTATAGCCTTCCTGAGTTTTCTGCAAAAGAAGAATTGCTCTATTTTTCTGTAGGGGAAAAATTAACGAAAGCTAAATGCTGGCATTTTCCAAGGGTGCCCCAGGTCTCACAAGGGCTGGCTCAAGTCTAAGAAGGTTGAGTACATTTAAGTAATACTGGACAATTTAAAGATAAGTTTATTGTTTGTAATTCCTTTTTAAAAAATGAAGATGTATGCTACTTTTTAAATGTGAATTCAGCATTTCTCACAAAGGTGTGTTGACGCCCACCTTGCTGGGGTCATCCGATCCCAGCAGTCTTTCCTGCCCAAGTGCAGGGGGCTGGACCCAATGATCTGTAAGGTCCCTTCTAGCCCCTAACAACTATAAAACACTATATTAAGAGTACAGGCAACCAGTACTCCACAGTGAGAGAAGATACAGCAAGGAAAGCTGCAGTTCAAATTTCTTACATCTCCTAAAATTGACCTGAAGGAATGGGGGTTACTAGGCAAGAGAGAACAGTTCAGTCAATAGCTGCTCTTTTCTCTTGGCCTGCAATTTGTACAAATTATAAAAATATATGAGCTCCCATCCAAATTACAAGGGCTATGGTTTGACAGCACAGATGGGAAGTTTCTATAGTGCCACCTCAGACTTCCCAGAATTAAAAGAACTACAGTAAACTATTAGCATGTACAGTTATTCACTCTCGCTGGAACAACTTTCCTGGGAGTGATTTAACCCTGGTTGTTCCCAGGTTCTCTCTCCTGGAGTGGCCATTTTTACCCTGGGAGAAAAAGCCTGAACATCTGTACACTCATGATTTCTCCTGGGAGAACAGCAACTCTGCAAAGAGAAACTGAATGTCTGTACAAGGTGACAGACAGCAGAGCACTGTCCTTCTATCTCAACCAAACAACATTAAAGGAAAATAAAAAAGGTTAGATTTACTAGAAAGGCAAGAACATTCAGACCATTTTGATTCATTCTAGAAAACACTTTCTTATTTATAAGAATACATAAAAAGATATGATTTAGGATGAAAAAATATGAAACTCACTATGAGCACGCTACAGAGCATCACTAAAAGTAAGTTTGTGTCGGTAAGCTGATGGCTGCAGGAATAATGGCCCCAAAAGAAACCAGTATCTACTGTTCAGTGACATGAGGGTTTTCAAATATGTATATAGTGCATGCAGTGTCTTATACAATGTATAATAACTTACATTATTTTATAGTATATACTGTAAGATGTACTGTCATATTGTTATAATGCTATGTTACTGTAATTATATATTAAAATCACATAAAAATAATGCATACTATAATATATTATATAATACTACATATTACTATAAGATTTTACTCTGCAAACAACTGTAGAGATGACACTGTGGGGCTAAGTTTCTAACACACAAACTGAATTATTCTGCCCTTTCCTGTCTGTACTACAGGATGCCAAATGCCTGTACTAAAGGCAACAGCTTGGCTCAGCTGGCTTTGGGGAAAATCTTGAGAAGCTGAACAATTCTGTGGATGATATACAAGAGAGAAGTTCATTTCCTTTTAACTACATTGGTTGACAGCAAAAAGCAACTCTTGACAGTAGGCATTTAAATACATACAAGTTCTTCATTGAAAGGCAGTGCCATTTTTACAAAATAAATTTCAGATTGGACCCTCAGTGTAAATTAACAGAAACAGGAAGGTAAGGGTTGGCAACATTTTGGGGCAGTGCCAAAAACACCCACAAGGTCTATTTGTAATACATTGGTGTGCCAGGAGTAGATGGCAGAGGAACCATGAGGAACCCAATCCTTTTTGTGGCAGTGCAGCCCAGCCTCTCCCCCACTGTCCACCCCGAGGTGCATGTGCACCTGCCCCCAGCAACAAGCCAAGCCGGAGCTTGGTGGACTCTGGTACAGCTGCTTGCAGCCTCCTAGCTGCCTCTCATAGCTGACCCAGGCTCTTGCAAGCAGAGCAAGCAGCTGCACCAGGGTCTGCAGAGTCCTGGCCCACCTCCTTCTTGGCAGCAGGTGCACATATGCCTTACGACAGACAGCGGGGAAGGAGTCAGGGCTACACTGCCACAAGAAGGATCAGGCCCCTCACAGCTCTGCCACCAACCGCCCCAAGGGCCATCATGCCAAGTAAAATGTGTTCACATGCGCCAAGGGTTACAGACCCCTGCTATAGTAGAATTGATCTTTTTAAGTGTTACCAAGTAACAGAGAGCCAAACACAAACTGCCTGAAGTTAAGGAGTTTCTCTTATGCGTGGTCAGTGTATATTATACAGTTTCTTACATTGTCTTCTGAAGGATCTATCTTTGGCCACAGTTGGACAGAATACTGAACAGATGCACTAGTAGTCTAAGCTGAAAGATTCCCAACTCTGTTGAATTTTTGTGGTCTTGTATTTAAAATGCTTGTTCCCATTGCTTCTGTAAGAAAGCAATTTGCACCAGTAAAGTGCTTCCTAAACAAGCTAAGCAGTAAGTAAAATTAGTTTTATAGGTAGTGTTACCATTAGATATAATGGTATATAGTTACTAAAGAAACAGGCACACTTATTCTTTGAGCCAAGATAGAATGTGATCATCTTCAGATCATGACAATATTTTCTACCAGATTGGTAATACATTTCTATCAAGTTCTAAATGAACATTATATGTAGTTCAGAGAAAACATTCAGAGAATTTGACTGGCCCTTACCTTTCCACCAAAGAAATAATGGTTAAACATGTTATAGTGGCAGAAATCTTCCTCTGTATAAAATTGTGAATACCTGTAAAGCAAGTTTTAAATGTAATGGAAAACAAATATATTCCTGTCTGCCAGAAACAAGGTTTTTGGTGAAAATATATTAAGAAAAAATCATTAATAACTATCACCTTGGGGCACTGACTGTCCTTATAGTGGCAAACCACTGTGCGAATTGAAAAAATAAGCATACATTGTGGATTTTGGCTGGGCAGAAGCAGGGGGGGAAGGGGAAGGAAGGGAGCAGATGACAAATAAAATAAAATGTGTACAGAGTAATCTATGTCTTTTTCCTATATAGATAAGACATAAAAAGCCTACCTGAAATCAATGTCTAACAAAAGGCTTTTAACATTGAACTGCTGTTCTTCACATCCATTTATTTGGATCAATTCATGAAGCCTGAAATCATTAAAGCAAACAAGTTAATGGATACGATGCATTTCAGAAAATATTCAGCAAGATGAGTAAGACCAAAGTCTTTCTAGAATAGAAACCAACTTGTTTTTCAGATGAAATGAGGACGTAGTTTGGGAGATTTTGGTGTAACCAATTTTCCAGTTTCACTAATATGCAAATACCCTTATCTAAAATAGAGTATTAGAAGATGACAGATCAGTGAAGATTACTGAATCCATCACGCTGCTTAATAGGCTCAATTCTAACAGTCAGTCTACTGCTTATTTTACCAATTAAAGAAGAATGACTGTTTTGCCACATTAGGAGGTCCTCCTTATTTCTGTCTTTATAAAATCAACAAGATCTAGCTGCCTGGACAATACCAAGAACCTCAAACCTGAGTTTGTTAAAGCACTTTTACATTACATAGAGGGAAGATCCCTTCTACTAGATTAGTGATTTTCAATGAGGGTTGAGGTGGGAGGAGATAAACAGGGGTGAGAAGGTAAGGGCAGGCTCAGGCTTATCCCTTTCTGGCCACTGCCTGGACGCTTTGCAAGGAGTTAAAGCACTAGAATGAACTAGTTTTTTAAATGGGGTGCTGCTCCATTCACAGTTCTGGAGGGGTGTCTCAGGTCAAACAAGGTGTGTCTCGAGACTAAAAAGGTTGAGAACCACTGTATTAGATATTAAGGAAACCTAAAGAAAACTAAGAAATGACTAAGTCCCAAGTAACAAATGTACCTTGCCGAACACTGATGCTCGCTAACATACCTCGGTGTGCCAACAGACAGCACTCTTCTGAATCCTAGTGCAATTATAAGATCCAGCAAAAACTGGCAGCTTCTATCTGCAAACAAATATTGTGCATTTGTTTTCTTATTCTCCAGTGGATATAGAATCTGACTGGGCCTTTTTAACTGAGCATTGGTGATGTCAGTAAGTACTTCATGTCCAAAGTGATTTTCCCACTCAGCTGGCAGTAATAACTGCTGGCATTCTTGACAAAATTTCCTTTTCGATAACGGCAACAGGACAAACTTCTTATATCTTCAAACAAAATAATAAGAACGTCATTTACAATACAGAACCTTGAAAAAGGTGCAATGTTAGTATTTTAGCAAACTCTAAGTCATGTGCCTTAGAAATGTTAAGGCCACTATTTTATAGTTACATTAGCTACCTCTGAATCACTGAATGCAAGGGTTCCCAACATCCTAGCCAGACCCAGCAAAGCTGCTTGCACCCAAGGGAAATTTGCTTTCCAAAGATGCTTGTTCCTTCAAGTTGACAGGCTAAGCATGTCTGTAGCATGTTACTTGCACTATACAATTGGTCATGAATGAGCAAAGTTTGGAGACCACTGAATTAATAGCTAAGAAAAATTATTTAAAAGAACTCTTGGGAATAGTATCCCCGGACAAGAGAAGAGCATTATATATTGTCAAAGTTTACTGGGGCTGTTTTACTTCTCCTAGAAAAAGTACTACTTACTTAATTAAAGTGTGGAAGCTCATATTTTCACTGGTGAAGGCATGAATGACCATAGTAACTAAAGATGTAGGCCTTACCATACATCTGACTGCAACAAAGTTTAAAGAGACAGATACAAATCAATAATTAATGTGAGCTGGTCAAAAAATTCTTCCAGAAAATGTGACCAGGATGACAGCAAGACCTTTATTAAATTACTTACATTTCCTTTGGACTCTACTATCTCTCACATGACTAAGCAACACACTTTCCTTTTCAAAGAGTTTTCTGAAAGTATTCACCACAACTCACAATTGCTACTGACAAAAAATTATTTCTATTAGAGCAGTGCTCTAGTCACATATGCAAGCCCTACCACATTGAGAAAGATACAATACTTGCCCCTGAAAAGATTATAATCTAAGGAAATATTTCCTATTATTTTCCATGCATGGTTCACCATGTCTTGTTTTTCTAAGTCTCACTCACTGGATTTTTATTTTTAATTCGTGTGAAAGGGAATGCTCTATATATGATGCGACTAACCCTACAGCAGACTCATATTTAGAAGTGTAAATGAACAACATAATACCTTTCCACATTCTGTCTGTGTGATAAAGAGGGTTGACGACTTCTGTTAAATTCTTCTCGTGCTGCAAGCCTAGCATCTGACACCTGCAAAACAAGATGCAAAAGCTCTGATAACAAACAGATGTGGATCTATTTCACATAATTTCTTAAATCAGAAAAGGGTTAACAAAAACTCTCAGTTTCAAAATTAGCAGAGTGTTTCAGAAAGTAATGGGAATTATAATATAATAAAAACCTTAGTCTGTTCATCTGTCCGTCCGTAACACTTTATTCATGCTCTGATTGGTTGTCTCTGCAACCAGAGTGCTCTGCACACACAGTTACACATAGCGGAGCATCACCATGACAACCAGGACTAAGGGGCCAGAGTGAGTGGGCCAGCAGTGCTAGCCCTGCCCACACCCCTCCAGGCCCTGCTCCTTGGAGGTGGTGGTGGCATGGAATGGAACAGCAAGGGGTGGGGTGGGGGGGCAAACAGGGTTGCACTGGGAATGGCAAGGGGGGGGGCCCAGAGGGCCAGATACAGGGGGTGGGGAGGCACATAGGAATGGGAGCAGGGGGACAGGGCGCACAGGGCCAGAGGTGGAGCAGCAGCACCGCAGAGTACTGGATGGTGGCACTGTGTCCCCGCCCCATAATTCATGACAGGCAATTTGCTAGTTTTTAAGTAAAGCCATTGTGTGTGCAACAATCATTTACTGGACCACATTACTTCTTTACACAGCTGTAAACAACAGGTATATTTGATTATGCCACCAATGTACCCCACTGTCATATACCATATTTACTTGAATCTAAGTCAAACCTGAATTTAAAACAACTCCTAATAATTAAAAACTACGTATGGAAAATGTACAAATTTTTTATAATTTTCCAGAAATATAATCAAGTATTGGAGGCTTGTCTTAAACTCATTCCCCTCCCGCTGCTAC